ATGGAGCGGGCGCGCCTGCCGTTCGCGCAGCCGGACGACGTCACCCGGCTCGAGGACTGGCAGTGGTCCGTCGTTCCACGCTCGGTCGCGGAAGACATGCTGCAAAACCATCCCCAGCCCGGCATGGACTTCAGCTCGTCGATGTCGCAGTCTCTGAGCATCAGCGCTTCGGAGTGGGTGTCCAGGGCCACCGAGCGCAAGTTCGCCTTTTTCCTGTCGTCGGTGGATATCCTGCGGATGTGCTCGTGGAACGGCTGTCCTCCCGTCTGCGCCTTCCCGCAGAGACTGGGGCGGCACTGGGGAGGCCTGCCGTTCCGCCACGGTCTGGTCGAGAGGCGCGCCTTCGATGCCGCCCTGCTGCGACTCATGGAGACGGGTGTGCTGGACCGGCTGAGGCGGCGCCGACTGCCCGAGCGGCTGCTGCGCGGTCTGCAGCGCTGTGACCTGGAGGAGCGGCCGCGCTCCCACTGGTCGCCGCTCGGCCTCTCCGAGTGCTGGCCCGTGCTGGCGGTGCTGCTCGCCGGCGCCGGCGTCGCGCTGCTGCTGCTGCTGCTCGAGACGCTGGCGCACAGGCTGAGTAATAAGCGCAACGCCTACGAAGAGCAAGCGACACATTCACCCACCGGAGAAAGCAGCAGCGGCAAGGCCGTAAAAGAGAGCAGCGGTGACAAGTGAAGGAGTGGCTCGCCAGATAAGTGCGCCTATGTGTTGCGTTCACATATGACAGAGCATGCGTTGCGCGACAGGTGTCGCAGGAGCACTGAAGTTGTTGCACCTCCAAAAGGAGTTAGAAACTGAAGCCGTTGGCTCAACTGTATTGCACTATCGTAGTCAAGTTTACAAACACTGAGCGATTTTATGGGCGAATACTCGATAAATAGGTAGAACACCGTCATTGCCGTTCACACGGAGCCCCGCGGACATCTTCACGGAGCCTTTCAGCAGCATGCGTGGTATTTGTCCAAGCCTTTCCGACCTGGTGTCGAAACGGGTGAACCGACCTCGATATGAGTGGCATCCATAATGGGCGCGCTGTGCCTTAGATTTTACGCCATGGACAGGATTAAAGTTGTCTATCTTTCACATTTCATAAAGGTAGGTAGGCACTACAGAGTATCCCGAAATTGATGCGCGGTTGATGCCGTATGTTATGTTGTCTCTCTCTCCGGAGTGTTGAACAAATTCAATTTTAGCGGCTTTGGCACCACTGACACCTTGCTGGTCAGTGGTCACACTATCACGTGATCCAAGCGGCTAACCCGACCTCGGCCGGTAGTGGGCGCGAGAGGCCACTCTTGTCCAGACAGGCAGCGTGGAGAAACTACAGCATTTTAGGCGCAATTTCAAAAAGTTAAAGACCAAATTCAAAACGTTCACGTGCATTTTGAATGTAAACTTTTTGAATTTGGTCTTTACATTTTTGAAATTGCGCCTAAAAAGGTGTACATATCACCAAAAGTGAAAAGGCACATCTACCGATCCGCTACCGCGCGGTGGGGATGATCAAGGACGGTGTGACCCAGGCTCAGGATGCCAGAGAATTGGACGTCAACTCTGCAACGATTAAACGCTGGATGGACCTCAAACGATCTGGAGAGACACTCAAGAACGGCACAATTCGAGGACGGAAGACTTTAGACTGCCTTGAGCCGAGTGGCGAAAATCGTGGTTGCAAAGTCGACCTTTAAAACACCATTCAACATAAGCGCTGACAAGAAAACTAAATGAGATGCATGGCCCAGCATCCAAATCGACCCTCCACTAATATTTGAAGACTACCTTGAAGCTGAAGTTGCTCAACCTCAGGATGCAGACCTGGCTTACCGTGGTCCAGAAGTGCATGCAGCTGGATCTCGCCAAGACCCACAAAAACTGGACCACTCAGGACTGGAGATGCGTCCTTTTCAGTGACGATGTGCGTGCTCTCTAAGTCCCTGACTGCCAGAACGATCGAAATGTGGGCCAATAGCAGCTCTGAGGAGTCCGCTGTCGAGACCGTGAAACATCTGCTGAAGAATCACATATGGAGCATGATGAGCTACAGAGGCTCTTTGAGCTTTACGAGGTGCCGCGGGGACCGACCGTGACTGCTGATTACTATGCTAGCGAGGTGCTGAAGAAGACTGCTGCCACAAAGATGCTGAGGAAAAAGGTAAATGGTTCAAAAACCAGAGTCAAACTTTGGTCGGACATGTCCAGGGCCATTTCCAGCAAGAAAGAGCTCGAGCCTATCACGCCAGGAACTAGGAAGACCCAGGACTGGTGCCGAGCGAGGCTCTAAGGCGTCTGGGGGAAGGGGCATGGTCTGGCAACACTCTGGACCTGTCCCCGATCCAAATTATCTGGACGATCGTCAGAAAAGAGTTCAGCAAGCTCCACGGCTAGCTCAGAGAAGAGGCTGTTCCAGAAGTTATAAACGGCAAGGCGTAGTTTCAAAAAAGAGACTATTGACAACCTGGAACGTGACACGCTAGAGTGCAATAAGCCGAGTATGCGACTGAATGAAGACTATGATAGAATATAAACCGTGAAGTAAATTCAAGTACTTTATAAGTTATTGAGGATAAAACAACCGCGCATCAATTTCGGGACACCCTGTAGGCAGATATCAACTGACGTGCCACGTAGAGAGGAGCAGGGGTGATTGATTTGTTCTAATTCTTACTTTGAAACAAGCTTTGAAATGTAAAAGCATGCTCTTTACGGCATCTGGGAACGTCAGTGGTGGGCGTTCCGTATTCCAGTTCGTGCGCAACCGTTCCACATCCCTAACGGATAGCACCCTGGTACCTCACACATTTTTCGTTGTGGGTCCATTGGCGGTGAAACAGCAAAGAGGGGTCGTGTCTGTGATCCCCCCCCCCTCACCCATTTATTCCGGTAAACCGTAGGTTCGTCCAAGATAACCCAACGGTTCGTCCACAGTAAAGGTAGTCACTGTGGACTGTCCGTATCACTGTCCATAAATAACAAGGCTCTGGGAGGTTTAGTCCGCACCCCGCAGCCGGGCCCCGTAGCGCTACTGCGGCGGCCTCTGCCTGAGGCGGACGGGGGAGGGGGTGTTGGCACTCCTGCATCTGCAATACATTAGGAGATATCGACGGATTAACCCGCGCCCCGTAGGGCTATCGGCGGACCCTACCACCCGTAGGGGGGGGGGGCGTTTCGGCACCCTCCCCCCCTAAGATTTCGGAAATTTACCGGCCGATTTTCAAAATTCAAACGGCGTTCGATAGCGCCATCGGGGAACTACCTTGTGACCAAATTTCATTGAACTAGGTCAGACCGATGACGTCATAGGTCAGGTCAAAGGTCGGATTTTCACCGTTCACAGGCATTTCAAGAAATGTGTTGTGAAATCGAGTAAATTGGTAAGTTATTGAAAACCCTCGATGGTAGGTACATTGTTCGTCAAACACATACTTTGCTATCTGAGGTCACTGATACCAGGTCAGGTCACAGAGGTCAGGTCACTGGGGGTCACAATATGAAAGTGTCGTGTGATGCAGGTTTCATGGTCCATTTTACATGACAAATGCGATTATGTGGATCAGGCAGCCTTTGGCGTTAGTTTAGGTTACGTTCTGGTGAAGGTCAGGTCAAGGTCAGGTCAAATTAGGTCAAATTTCAAAGTTAATATTTTTGCATAAAATGGGTATCGATTCGATGCAGCTGGTCACAGGGAGGCTAACGGTGGTCTTTGTTTTGCCCTGCCTATGTGGTATAGAATTGCCAAAAATTGAGTTTGAAAATTTGACGTCATCATTTTTGAACAGTTTTTTTTTTCAGGGGTGCGGAGCCGGAGCCGGAGCTGGAGTCAGAGCCGCCGGAGCCGGCATATTTTGCCCGAAGCCGGAGCCGGAGCCGTGAAACAACATAGCCCGGAGCCCGAGCCGGAGCCGGAGCCAGAGCCGGAGCCGGAGCCGTCCCAAAAGGGGGCGACTCCGGCCCTTTTTTTTAGAGGAAAAAAATTATTGACCTAGTTCGGTTTGACAGTACAAGGCAGTAGAACATGTGGTATTCAAAATAGCCTTGCTATGCAAATACAGAAGCAATGTGCACCAATCCAATCGCCTTTTTCTTCCACACGTATTTTCTTCCACACGTATTAATCGCATAGGGGATGTACTGAGTAGGAGCCGGAGCCGGAGCCGCCGGAGCCGGACCATTTTACTCGGAGCCGGAGCCGGAGCCGGAGCCGCCTTGACATTTCACCCGGAGCCGGAGCCGGAGCCCATTTTTTTCTCCGGAGCCGGAGCCGTCTGAAATTTCCACGGCTCGGCATCCCTGTTTTTTTTTTCTATAACTTGGCCAAAAGAGATATCGATCTGAAATTTGGTATGTAGAAAGAAGGCACGCCCCCCCCCCCCCCCTCTACGGGGCGCGGGCCATTTCGGAGAGGATACGCGGAGAGGGCCATTTCGGCTGCAATTAGGGGCGAAATGGCGAAGGAATTTTCATTCCACACCCTCGCGGGGGCGATAAAATGCACAAGACCGCGATAGGTCAGGTGAGGGTCAGAAGTTCAGAACACGAAATGCACAGATGGACTGATTAATTAATAAGGGCTGAAGTATGCGTACGTGACGATTCAATACCGTTTCATCGTGAACTATTTTAGATTGATTCAGAGAAAAATGACACATTCGGCATCAGTCATCCCACTGTGCGCCCAGTTGTTCGTTATTCAATTAGTGCAGCAAGCCAGGGATAGCTGAACACTTATCTCAACAAGGACTGACAGCCGACAGGTGCAATAGACGACCTCACTTGCACTGCAGACACTGATCACGTACTGATCAGTACTCACAGTCACGTGCCGCTGCCGCTGAGTCGCTTCACAGCGTGGTCGCACGGAGCCACAGCACTGGCACGGGGTAGTGGCAATCGACCCTGACCCCGGAGCCGACGCACACCCAAGACTAAACAAAAAACTCGACTCTGCCGTACCATATCAGCAAAACCTGCCTTTCATGCACCAATGGAGCAGCAGGACTTACCTATTGGCGCGAAGTTTCTACTCCCCGAGTTTCCACGGTCCACGCACGCTCTCACGTCGCCCAAACTCACGGCCACGCCGGCTCCCACTCCGCCCCTCTATCCCCACGCGGCGGCGGCGGCGGCAGCGAAGCGGCCGGTACCGCCCGCCGCAGTCAGCTGATCGCTCCGCGGCGCAGCGGCGCGCTCAGGCACACCAAGTTGGGAGGCGCCGGGTGGTGAGCGGACGGGTGGTTTATTGGCCTGCGCTCTGGATTGTGTGAAAAAAAAATGTGTCAGGGGAGGCGTGCATTTCAATAAATGATTCTTCCGCTATGGCCATTAGATGTTGACAGTCCGACTGTCATGAAAACTGTGCACGGCAGCCCCGGTGCCTTGGCCCGTCTTGTTCGGTTCGGGTGGAGCGAATAGCGATTAGCATTGCCTGGAGCGTACCGGCTCGGATGTGACGCATCCCGCTCGGTGCAAACCGGGGGCGGCACACGGAGCCGGTAAAATGACCGGCGGGCCGCACCCGCGGTCACCAACCGAGAGCTCAGATACCTGGGTGCCGAGGAAAATGCTCGCTCAGCGCCGACCACTGAAATGTCGGCCTGCACCCCGCTCTGGTGACCTCGACTCGCCCGTGGCTCACCGGTGACACGGTCAGCGGGGTCGCCCGGGGCGCGGAGGGTCGGCCGGGAGACCCTGGCAGTGACCTCCGTGGTCGCGGAGCTCAGATACCCAGCCGCCTCTGCCCCAGTGAGACCGTGACAATGGGGGTGGTTCGATTCGGCTCGAAACGCCGAGTGACGTGACAGGAAACAGTGCAAAAGGAAATAGCTGCAGTTTGCAGCGAGTGGGCGTGTGTCGGCTGCTGACTGTTGGCGGTGACACGGCTGACAGTCCGGCCGACAGTCACCATGTCGGGCGTCCGTCACCTGCTGACGGTCGGATGCCGGTCGAGGTCACTGACCCCGACCGGCCGCGGCGGGCCGGTGTCGCCGGCGGCCGGCCGTCGTCTCTCGCTGCACGCGTCGCCCCGCGACCCGGCTGGCCCCCCGCCGGGGGCGCTCCAGCTGTCCGTCCCGGCCCCCGGCGCCGGCCCCGGCGCCCGGCGGCCCCGGCGTGGCTCAGCCGTCTCGCCCGTAGCTCTGCTGTTCCGGCGGTCACCACTACGACCTGATCAGCCCTGGAACAGGTGAGCTGAGCATTGAGCAATCAGCAATGAGCATACTATAGACACTTTTTTAGATGACCTAAATGGAATCCATTCAGAACGATAGGTCAGGATCGGGAAGACTGGGGACATAGGGGAAGGAGGGTGAATTGCGCCACCTTAAGGAAAAACGCTAATTGTAAGAAAACCGCTGGAGATATAAGCATGCACTGGTAACCACTTCAAAGAGGAGCTCATTAGCTACGATTTAAGAGCCTCCCGATCAATTAAGAATGTTTCGTTTGCTTCCGACAGCTGCTTTTCAGAAACTGAAACATGCAAAAGGGCGCATTTACCGACAACTGCTGTAAATTGCGCCAGGGGGATGGCGCAATTAGAATCCAATTGCGCCCTATACTTAAACATGGCTAAGCGAATGAGACGGAATGCATACACCCCGGCAGTGTAATGTCATTGCGGCTTACTTAAACATTTATAATGTTAATCAGGCTGGATAAATAATAAATGTAGATATAAATCGCGATGTTTTTGCCCAGGTAAATAACTTAACCCATTAACGCCCGTAATTCCCCAGCGAACGCACACGAATGCCCATTTGCCGATTTAGAGGTAATGGTCCCCTAAGGGTACCATGTGAGTTTGGTAAATGTGCGAATTCTAGAAATACCGTAAACCGGGGTGAGTTGATATGGATTTTGAGGTTTTTCTAGATTTCTTTAAAAGCCACATTCATTTACGGAATTCTTTTTGTGCCAGTTTCATGGCACATGCCTTGGGGAGGCAATCAGCAAAAATGAATAAAAAATGTATATATTAAGCCCCTTTTTTAAAACGCCAAAGTTCATATCAACTCACCCCCTGGGGGGTGGTGAGTTGATATGGTTTTGGATTTTTCAAAATTTCTCGGCTAAAGAAGCTCAGAGGTGAGTTGATAAAATGCCAGTGTTTAAAAAAAGGATGAGAGAACAAATCCTGAAAGAAACCATCAGAAAAATGGTAGTAGTTTGGCAGCAGACCTCACATTCATGAAAACGCAATCATGTCCATTACAGCGCTATCAAAATGGCTTGATTTTAGCAGCATCATTTTTTCGCTTTATGATACTTAGTTTTACTTAGAACATTCTGAACTTGGCTAGTCACGTGTCCTCAAGCCAACGGTATCAAAACTGGCAATATATTTTGGAATTACAAGTGTATTTTCTTGTAATTAAAACACATTGTCAGTTACGGGTCAAGGTTGATATGCCTCTGACAGAGATAATGGATTGAAATGAAAGAATACCTATACTTCTGAGCTTTTGTTGACTGGTAGTCAACAAAATATTAATGAAGTGAAGTGAAGCGAATCTAATTCGGACTGTATTCTATCAGGTGAAATAAGTGACATAAAACATAATTCGGCATCAAAAGCCAAAATTAACCCTCGCACTTATAGGCGGGCGAACGGACCACCTCGGCTTTTCGCACATAACTCGCGCAAAAAGCGGCTGATCGCGACGAAACCTTCAGTACCTCTCGAGTTTATCAATTTTACACATGTTCTAAAAATTTCATGACCCTGACTCAAATGGTTTTTGACTTGTGACCTGATTCTCGAGACCATGCTTGGCCGGAATCACGATTTGGCGTAGTCGGCTCACATTATCCGCGCATTTCCAGTCTTTTTGTGATTGCAACGTTCAAACATGTAAATGATGTTGGTCCCATGCAGTATTGTGGGTGTCAACTGTCAAGGTCACCTGAAGGTCAGGTCAGGTCATTGATCTTTGGTGACCTCGGTTCACTTTTTGGAGTTTTACATGTTTCTAGGGTAGTTTTTCGGGCCGATTTTGAATTTAACATGCATTTGATCATTTACGAAGTAGTTTTAGTGCCTTCGTAACATGTTACGACACCGTCAGTGGTAGTTGACACTTGACACTCCCTATGGATAGCCGGCAGGACACCTACTGGTTGACCTGACCTGACCTGACCTGGCCTAAATGTACGAAGACATCTGTGATCAAAACTAACATGACATTCGTGATCAGCAACCGCTAAAAAATAATAACCTCGCTTTACGAACTTCAAATAACCCCCTATTTTCCCGACTTCTGGGTAATTGACCTGGCCTGGAAGGTTAACCGATGACCTAGGACCTTAAAGTTGATGATCATCGGCTTCCTCGCGTCTCGGGCAACACGCTCGTTTTTTCCGCGAAGCTCTAGCTCCACCAGGGGCCAAACGACGATGGGATTCCAACGCCCCCCCCCCCCCCTATACGTTAAACGCTGGCAAAACACGAATACGGGCGAGGGCTAAAACACCAATTTCTTTATATTGTTTGTTCCATTTCATTTTGTCACTCATTCTCGGTTGGCAACTGCCAAGCAGGAAAACTTATCAGTTTCACGAGATCAGAATTCCCGCGCTGTTAGCCATAAAGAAACGACAGTTCTGTCATTTTCGAAACTACGGATAATTATAACAAATTTTTTAATCTGTATGTATATTTAGGTTTTCTATAGTGTTCCTTTGTAGCTTGTAGGGAGCCATCTTGAGACTTGACAGGGAGTTGTGCTGTGCCTTTTGCATGTTAGGTATGTCAACAGAAAAACACTTTGGGGTCACTGATGTTAGTTGTCGGACCTTTGTCACCGTCTTGAGTTGAGATGTTAGTTTCACAACGTTTCGGCCAGTTACTCTCCGGCCGTCGTCACTCGTCAGGTGTTCTTTGACCCTCAGAAGGACCTGGATGTTGATGGCGTTGCGCCGTACGCGTCAAACCGTTCGAAAGCTCCTGTAGTCAGCGGGAATCGAACTCGGGTTTCCCCGGTGATGGTACACGGTTCTAACCACCCCACTATCGAGGCAGATTTGAGTAAGGCCGGAGAAGTTACTGGCTGAAACGTTGTGAAACTAACATCTCAACTCAAGACGGGGACGAAAGTCCGACAACTAACATCAGTGATACTAACAGGCCTCGTCTCAAGCATTCAGAAAAAAAACTAAAGCTTTTGGGGGTTGATGGAATGATGTGGGGAGAGAAAAGGAGAAGAGTTGGTCTAATTGACTTTGTCTTACCTGCAGACCCATATTTCATGCTAATTTGCATGCATACCAGCCTGGTATCAGCTCTTATCATGCATATCAACTCACCACTTGATGGCATATCAACTCACCACCTGTCACTTTTCTTAAAATTATAAAAAATCGTTGTTATAGGTGAAACCCAAAACTACCTGGGATCAACAGTAAATTGATGGTAGTTTCTTTCCCAGTGCATGTTGTTCCATGAATATCCACCGTCTTTGCTGTAGGGTGGGGACTTTTCCTTAGTTTCAAAATCAGAAGAAAAAAAGGACTTTGAAAAAAGTAATGTGTTAAGAAGGCACTGCACCACATGCATGCCTTTCTCAGCTATACGCATCACTTTTTGGTTGCTTCACTTCACAGAAAAATAAAACTGAAAATTGGTTTACAAATGGATGAGCAGCACACATTTTAACATTTTTCGAGCAATCTATATCAACTCACCACCCCATATCAACTCACCCCGGTTTACGGTATCCTTTTTTGAAGTGGTACCTTTTGGTACCACTGGGCGTTAGTGATATCATTTTTTTCGCAAAAACATGCATTTTAGCAGCATACAAGATATGTTGCCAAGAAGACTTTGCAGCTCATTCGTGAAAATTGGAATATTAGACGACATACTGATCGGCAACATTATGGCAAACGCTCGCCGCTTATGTTTTTCAAGTTGTCAGATTATGACGTCATTACTGCATGCTATGCCTAACTGCCATAAACGTCAATGCTATTATTCACCTGGTGGTGGGTCAGTCTAATGAAAAACTGTGCTGTTTCAAGCAAGGCTGCGGAGTTGATGGATTTTCAGTGACTGACTCTGACTCCAATTCAGACTTTTACATTTCGACTCCGACTCTGACTCCGACTCCAGGCATGACTGTCGACTCCGACCGACTCTAACTCCTGCTCCATCCCCGCAGCCCTGGTATATCTGCAGAGTCGCGGGATTTTCGGCGACTCGAACTCCGGCTTCGGCTTCCACAATCGACTCCGACTCTGACTCCGACTTCAGTTAAAGATATCGACTCCGACTGACTCCCGATTCCGATTCTGCAGCCCAGGTTTCAAGGCTTGTAGAGTTGTTTACTTTCCTAAAATGCACAAATATCTTTATACAAATGACAAAACAAACGGTTTTCTAAAAGTCATTACCAGCAACCACCCTACAATCTGTTTTATAATTTCTTTCAAAATTATGAAAATAAACATGAAGCCCATAGTCAAGATCCAGCACAGTCTGTGCTTACAGTTCATGCACTGCAAGACACGCGCTATACCTACCTACCAAATCTAATCCAGCAATCAACGAGACAGATCTTCAAAAATGGACTTCAGCCGGATTGTGCAGTGCTGGTTGCGCTGAGGCACACGTTGCAGCAGTCAACACGTCACGCTTCTAGGCTCTAGCCGTTATACTTCTCCATGTACGTCTCCGGGCAGAGCGCCACGCGCCCCTTGCCACAGATGGCTATATGTAGTGACAGCCGCATAAGTACAATGCAAGCGCCAATTCATGGCGGAGCCCACTCTAATCCAGTGTCTGCATCAGTCGCGGCGTACGCAGCATTATCAGGTGCACGTACCAAGCAGCAGGTCTGCAGGAACTCGTCTGTCACTACCATCAGGATCAATATTTCCTTCGTATACTACCGCACAAACTGCACTGGGATGTGGCGTCGTTACCCACATCTTCCTGAACAACATCAACAGCCTTTCTAAACAACAAGACGATCTCAAAACCATGCCCCTCCCCCTCCCCCAAGCAATATTCATTTGGGCCTTGACCACATCTCTGCTTGGCCTTGGCAGGGATACCCGCAATAATAATAGCGATTACAGGGCAAACATCCTATCCAACATCAATGTGTCACGTCAGCGGTGAATAACTTATCAGCAATGAATGCACCAGTTTCAAGCGACGAGGGCGACGAAGGCACTCCCCTCCGAACTCTTTTTAGATTATGTTTGTCGCAAACGGCACACTGTCCCTGAGAAACGTTACACAAACGACTCTCAGCCTACACAGGCGCCCCTTTTTAGCATAGAGACGTCCCCTTAGGTTTCATAGGCATCAAAGGCGCCTCTTTAGACCTAACAGGCGCCCCTCGTTCCCACTGAGGCGCCCTTAAGGGCTTCACAGGCGCACCTCTTTCTATAGGCCTCAGGGGCGTCCATCCTTAGGGATGCAGTGGCCAAGCTTTCTTATGGAAGCTCGAATTTGACCTTCATGGGCGCCCCTTTTGCATGGCGTCGCCCTTTCTGCGTGTTGGCGCCCCTACATATACTATAGGCCTCATGGACCTCAGAGGCAGGGCTGCGGAGTCGATGGATTTTCGGCGACTCCGACTCCGACTCCGGCTTTCAAAAACCAGCTCCGACTCCGACTCCGACTCCGGGCAGAATTGTCGACTCCGACCGACTCCAACTCCCGACTCCGACTCCGCAGACCTAGCAGGGCTGCGGAGTCGACAGATTTTCGGTGACTCAGACTCCGACTCCGGCTCGGGTTTCTAAAATCGACTCCGACTCCGACTCCGACTCCGGTCACAACTGTCGACTCCGACCGACTCCGACTCCGACTCCGACTCCGACTCCGCAGCCCTGCTCAGAGGCACTCCAGAGGCTTCACGGGTGCCTCTCTTTCGCATGCAGGTGCTCCTATGGGCATCGAAGTCGCTCCTATGGACATCCTCATTTGCATTGAAGCGCCCCTATGAACTTTATAGGTGCCCCTCTTTCGCATATCGGCGCCCCTATGGCCTCACAGGCACCCCTCTTACGCACCCAATGTCTTTAGGCGGTGGCGCCCCCTTGAGGGATGGCGCCCCAAATGGCAATTTGTCCGCATCACTCCGTTGAGCATTGTTACGCGTCTGCACAGAACGCGCACGCATGAAATTGCGAAAAAACGCTTAGCTTAAAGGGACCCTCCCACCTTCAAAAAAGTTAATGAATTGGCATGAAAGTGATGTCGTTCGGTTCAGAAAGAGCAAAAACGAATATCTACCAAATTTCATCGAAAAATATTCACCGGTTTTCAAGATATTAGACTTTTACTTTTGTTTACTTTTTGGGATCTCCGCTGTTCCTAGCGACTTTATTTGAAAGTGCGGCATTTTTTGCGCGCAAAGCAGCATATACCACCGCGTGCTACAAAACGTTTTAGTCAAACATTTAACGGACGTTCGAAAGCCTGATGACGTCATCAGACTCCCGTAATGGTTAAGAGATAGGGACCACGCTGGTCCCACCCTGCAAGTAAAGGGAAGAAATTTCTTGAACACCATAAAGCTGCGGGGGTTGCGACCAGGATAAATGGTGGTTTCTGAGCCTGGCCGCAAACTTGGCTATCTCAACTCAAAACTAATGTTAAGGTGGGAGGGTCCCTTTAACGCCCAGTGGTACCAAATGGTACCAACAAGAATTCTTCCCCTAGGGACGCCAGGATTCATGACGAAACATCGGATATTCTGCTTAACTGCAGCTGCGAGTTCTTCATCTTTAATGTAAACACACTTTGGCCAAAAGAACATTCACAGACATGCAAATACAAACGTTTCTTTCTCCTAACGTCAGCCAATGACTGTGGCGCCTCGAAACACTCCTCGCTTTTCTGCACCTCACATGAAGTTCTTTGTATCAGCACGTTATTTTCATCCAACAGCATATCCGGAAAGGAGGCGATTATCCAATGACAGCATCTATGTGGCGAAAAAACGTATGGTCTCAACGCAGCGGGCCAAAATGTGCGTTGGTACCTTTTGGTACCGCTGGGCGTTAATGGGTTAACATGTGTCCGTATGTTTGTAAAAGTGCAACGAAAACGTTTTATGTAACCGACTAGATATATGTGAAAGTATGGTTAAATTTTCAATCGTTTTTCTCAAAATTATTAATTTTTATCATTTCGACAACTTGTTGACATCAGTTTTTACTTTTTGATCATAGCTGTCACCTCTCACTCCCGAGTCCATGTTGAAAATGCCGTATTTTGTCAATTACACCACAAGTTGGCAGCCTAAATGGCAGCTGCATTATAAGTTTGACGAGAGAAATAATTTGCGGACTGGCGACAGCGGGCTGTTCCCCTGCCTGGCATTAAACTCCTTCTTTATTGCAATCAGTTAATGGTGCATTCATACTGTCGTGATACAATAGCTACACCATTATTCTATTTGCGCCCCCATGGCGCAATTGCCATGGGCGCAATTAGAATTGAGGTAATAATAATAATAAGCCATAATAAGCCACCTAACAGGCGTGCCATGGGCGCAATTAGAAAAGTGGCCGAAATCCGAGGAGAAATTGGATTTTGGGGGTAGGTTAGGTTTTGGACCTCTGGGACCCTGGCCCCCCCACTTTCGAAAACGTTCCTACGCCTATGTGAAGGATGCTTACTGTTTAAGTGAAATATAATGAAAAAATGGGCTTTCTTTCTAAATATCACTCAGAAAATCAAACACGTATCACAGATTTTTATAGCCACCGGTTCAAAATACTGCAAAAAAACTAAGAAAACGCCGTAATATCTTTGATGTCGTAACTGAGCCCTGCTGATTGGCTTCGTCGGAGAGCTTGGGCCATAAAATGAACTATCAGGTGGTGAAAATTTTGTTTTCGAACACAAAATTATAAACATACCATTGAATTCGTGGGAATGTTGGTGGGCGCAATTGGTTAGGAGGGCGCAATACACCCACTTTCCCCTAGGCGCTTAACGTAATTCGCGTCACCTGGCTGCATTGGCATATCCCGAGGACGGTTGACTTCCATCGCATTGCATCAGTCGGTGTCATTGCATAGAGCTGATAACTTGATAAAATACCAATTCTAGTCTTTTTCAGTGTGCCACCAGTCTCATTGAACGCTTTGATGGCCGTTCTCGGCAGGTCCATTCTGCCCCGGCCGTCTCTGCTGGTGACGCCGGGGTCGCCGCCGGACGAGATCCCCGACCCGTTCGCCAGCGGGGACGTACGCAGCGCCACCTGTCACAAAACATACGAAGATGACAGCGCTACCTACACAGCTGCGAGTCCCGCCAGCCCGGCGCCGGTGCGGCTGGACGGCGAGCCGCCGCCGGGAGTCCCTCGGACTCCGGTGATCACTGGACCCCGGCGAGGGAGCTGGATCGGCGCCGGACTGAAGTTCGACACCCCGGAGAGGACGGAGGTGGAGGAACACGGCCTGGATTCGCACCCGGATGTGCCCGTGCTCGGCAGAGGCGCCTTCGGAACGGTGGTGCTCGGGAGGAGGAGAGGTGAGTGGCCGCAATGCTGCAGCATCTTTATTGGCTCTCCAGAGCTGCTCCTGTCTCAGCTTTTCACAATTCAGCAGTCTGTGGAGCTTGATGACCGAGGTGCCTTCTCAATGAAGCCCAAACTCATCTCCCATGGGGCAGCAGCCGATAAAAATTAGTAGGACAATCACTCCCGGTATTTGTCACTCGTTCGAGCCCCAATCACCTGATGTCTGTCGTCTGACGCACCTCCCTGCGGTACGGCAGAGCGGCCGGTGGCGGTGAAGGTGGTGTATGTCTGACGCCCCCCCCCCTTCCTGCGGCCGGTAGCGGTGCAGGCAGGTGGTGTAGTGTATGTCTGTCGTCTGATACCCCTCCCCCTCCCTGCGGTCCGGCAGAGCGGCCGGTGGCGGTGAAGGTGGTGCGCGGCCGGCCGCCCAGCGCCGGCGACCTGCTGGCGCGCCGGCTGCGTCACCCGCACCTGGTGGCCGTCTACGGCGTGTACGGTGTGAACGCGGCCTTCTCCACCGTGGAGATGGAGTACTGCGGCGGCGCCAGCCTGCAGGCGCTGCTGGACGCCGCCGACGGACCCCTGCCGGCCGCCGATGTGGCCAGGTGCGCCGACAGGTTTCACGGGACACACTGAAGGCAGTGAGCATGATAACTCCAACGCTGCCTGACATGTGAATTAGTACTAATGATAACCTTCCTACGAGCTGATCGAAACAATTCAGCGGCCGTTAACACCAAACCTCTGGAGCTGGCTGCTTATACAGTTAACCTACTAGTTACCTTCTATAGTAGCTAGTTCTCATCAGGACTGATCATTGATATCAGACAATGACGCGGGCGCTCCCGTCGCCCCCTGAGCAGCAGGTCTGTCTCTGTCGCAGGTTCGTGACACAGCTGGTCTCCGCGCTGGCCTACTGTCACGGAGAGGGGGTGATTCACCTGGACCTGAAGCCGGCAAACGTGATCGTCACCCGCGCCGGTGATCTGAAACTGGGGGACTTTGGCAGCGCGCGCAGCGTCGACGACCAGGAGGCACGCGGGGTGAGCCTGAGGGCGTCGAGGAAGGGTCATTGGGGTGCTGATTCAGATGATAGTCAGTACTTACCGTTAAAGTTCAAAGTTGAGTGCTTTTACCAATGCCGAGGCGACACAAAACTCGTGTTTGATTTGTTTTGGTTTGTTTGATTTGTTTCTTTTGAAAATCTAGGTAGTAATTCTACCTCTTGACGAGAAGGTAATATTTATTATTAAAAACAAAAGCGAGCATCGCACAATCCCCAAAATATAAGTGCTCATGGTGTCGCTAATTGATATCTAGGGCTCACAAGTCGCAGACACATGATACGACTGCTCAGTACGTCCGTCCCGCCACGTCTGCCCGCAGAGTGGAGCACGCGGCACCGTACCCTACATGGCCCCGGAGCTGTTCCGTGGCGAGCGTGCCACGTGCCGGGCGGACGTGTACGCGCTGGGCGTGTGCACGTGGCAGCTGCTGAGCGGGCGGCGCCCGTTCGCCGGTCTCCAGCCCGAGACGGTCATCTACATCGTGGTGGCGCTGCGGCGGCGGCCCGAACCGCAGCTTTCCGCCGCGGCCGGCAGGTGGCAGTGTGTGGTGGAGCGCTGCTGGGCGCAGGAGGCCCGCTCGCGGCCCGATGCCGAGCAGCTCGAGCGCTGGCTGCTGGCGCTGGACGGCGACGGTGTCTGGATCCGGGATCCGTTCTGAGGCGCCGGGCCAGGCTGGAATGCGGACGGCTCAATGGACGGCTCAATGAGCCCAGTTTCTCGGCACTCCCGCTGACATTTTATGCCGTCCCGTTTTGTTGATATTTTATCGTTATTTTATTGTTCATCGTTCCACACAAATCAAATATATTCATCAGGCATGTTATAACAAGAGTGTATGATGCGGCCGAGTAGTATTGGAAAAAAACTCTAATCAAATTACGGTAGAGCAAAAAAAAAATGGGAAAGAGCGCTCTATCCTGCATAAAACTCAGCAAGTTTGGACAATCTTATATTATAACAAATGACATGGCGACATGGAATACAGGACAGGGATGTCGGGGCATGATGAGATGAGATGACTCCGAGCTGGGCCCGAGCGAGTCGGCTCAGTTATCCGGCATCTCTCCTCCCGGCACGAGCTGAAAAGAACGGGCGGTCTTCACCTCGCTGAAACAAACACCACGTCACATCCGCACCAGCACAGATGTCAACTTAGCCTGCAGGCATGCAGCAGGATAGGTATAGCTGGGTTTTGAAAGCCTCAACAAGTTCCTTATCCAGAGCTCACATTACTTTTAGCAGCACAGATGCATGCCACATTGCACATGATCTAAAGATGTAATAAGCTTTAATATGACCCCATTCCACATGTTTTCAAGTACTGGACTTCAACACCTAGCAGCACTGCCTAACTACACAATAGATAGAATACTGGAACAAGATTGAGAAAATATGATTTGAAAAAAATGAAAAAAAGCTTTGAGTTTAGGGATTTCAAAAAATTTGTTTATTTTTAGAAAACAGAGAAACAGAGAAAAGAACAATAAAAACATTTGCATTGGATGAGCCTGTCCAAGGGGGGATAGTTGACCAAAAAATGTTACTGTGCAATTGTTAAAATGACCTGTTAAAATGACAGTTAAATGACAAAAAATAAAATGACAATTGTTAAAATGGCCAACTTTCACTGCAGCCAGCCTCCATCCTCATTCCTCACCATGGTGATGTTGTTGCCATTGAGCAGGATCGTCTCCAGCTTGGTGACACGTCTGCCCTCAGGTGTGCTCTCATACTCAGTCACATCCTCCAGCACCATGTTGACGAAGTCGTCAAACCCACACAGTGTGCCCACAATCTCTTTGTCATTCTTCATTATGATGTGTAGACGAGACCCAATACATTTGTCCACCAGCTCTGCCGGGCATAGGAATGCATTCATTGAAGCTGCAGTGCAGGCCACCTTCAAAAAGTTTTCTCAGATCGGCCTATGATTTATTCCCTGGACAAAACAAAATTTTAGAATTCACCTGACAAAGTATCATCACGTGAATCGCGAAAAAAATTGTCGATTATCATACAATTATCAATCGGTTAATGTCTAGCGACAATGTTTACACATCACTAGACTTCAAGGTCATAAGATTATTACATTTTATTTGAAAAAGTAAGGTATTTTATGATTTACTAATATATGATTTCATAAGAAATTGGCCATGTTTAATTTATTTTGCATTTAAGTTCGTAAAACATTTAAAAATCATGGCTCATTTGGAATGGGTCTGGCCCATGTTAAACCCCATTTCCCACACTTTTTTGGAAAAATGAACTACTGAATATATAGGTTTAACTTTTATTTTGACACTCCAAAATTCTTCTCTGATCTCGAAACAATCAAAGTTTTGACATATATTTACCAAAAGATAAGAAAATTCATGTTTCAAAGTTATCGATAAACAGTAGAGATGTCGGTTTTCTTGGACTAAAAAAATGGCATCAAACTGAACTTTGGTCTCCGATTTCTCGCAAACGGGTTCGAATTTCGGAAAACCGACTTCAGTCTGGGACATAGGTGGCTCAGCTCTAGTGAAAACCGTTTTGTGGAAAAAAGGTGGCAGTCTACCTTTAATATGCAAACAAGTTTGACAGAGAGCTGCAGCTGGTGACGGGTGCCAATGCTATGCCACTGAGCCAGCGATCTCAACCGACAACCAAGCACCCAAGGTATGCCCGTTCGATGTTAGTTTAGTTATAGATGGTTATAGTTTGAGTTTACTCAGCAAAATTTATTTTTCCATTGAATAAAACTGAAACAGGGAAATTACACTTACCCAGTGGCAGAATTTGGTTGGTAGTTGGAGTGGGTACCGATGTCATTTTGACTGCTCAAATTTTACAGTACTGTATATAGGGCCTTGCAGTATCAACGGGAAAACCTTAATTATACCCCAGAAGCGACCATCGATAACGATAAGTCAAAGTCGAAAACGTGTTGATGACTCCGGTCACTAGGGCTGTTCACGAGGTCGGTTTATCCCGTTTAATAAACCGTAAACATGTTTATTTTTTCAAGGACCAATCAGCGTCGACCTGATCCTGACGTCACAGCTCGTCAATGACGTCAGACCTCCGCCGTAAACCGTTTATGCGGTTGATGCCTCAGAGCATCAACATGGCGCGTAAACGCGTTTATGTGACAATGATGGCGTTGGCGATGTGCGGCAAACTCGTGAGGTGAGTTGTGAATTAGGAAAATTGAATTCGGATAGTTCAGGGGCTGGTAGGTGGGTAAATGAGTTTCAAAATAACTCTGTACGGGTTGCAGAGGACTGGAATGGTAGGTTTTATTATTTCATTGTAATTAAGACCTATTTTGAGCATCGTTCTCTGCTAACCAGCGTCTAGCGTCGCGGGTATTTTGTGATGAAAACTGTCCTTTGTCTTGCAATATGTCATGATATGGGACATATTTCCATCAGATTATCTTTTCTTTGCACGTTTTACAGTATCGTCTCAACTGCTTATTAGTTGTCACTGTTTGAGTAAACACTTGTGCTTCGTAAACGTAAACGCCGTGTGACGTCATAGCCGGGAACGTGCCCCGAGGGCAGTTTATGTAAACCACATAAACCGACGTCGTGAACAGCCCTACTGATGATCCTTTGAGACAAAATATGTTCCTGCTCAGATACGCGGGATACGCGTACGCTCACATAGCTCACAAGCAGTCATGTGCGAGTAACCATTGGTAAATTTTTGCTGTCGTTCCTTCTTCAATAGCTAAAGTGTAGATTTTGAACATATTGAACGCGGGCAGGAGCGCTTTGCAGTTGTATTAGCTGCGCATTTTCTGACGCATTTTTTTTGCTACCAAATCGAGGAATCTTTCATGTAACGGAAGTTAGCAGGGATTCAGCAGGGGTTCAGCAGGGATTCAGCAGGGATCGACGGCCCCTACGATTTCGCTAAATTTTGGTGGAGAGGTGCAGAATGGTGTCCTCTATCGAAAATCCTAGTGCCAAAATGCGGGGAATCCATCAGGGGGGCCACAAATCCCAAAAAACAGTATGCCCTCAGGGCACAATCGACGAACTTTGAAAACCCTACTTCTAGCCGTCAAAACAGCTAAAAATGCACGTCATTCGAAAGAGGACAAAATTTTACGTGCAACGGTACCAAATTTAGGGGGCTAGCGCCCCCCTGAACCGAACAAAACAGCTTCAAATATATGGGCCCGGGAGTATGCCCTCGGGGCATAAATAAACGTTTTCAACAATTTCAGGCCTATAACATCGACAAAATCCAGCAATATGCACATCATTGGAAAGAGCGTAATTTCCCAAACAAAAAACCCAAGTAACATTTTTCGATGGGGCCCACCTGGGGCCCACGGGACCCAATTGAAATTTGGGGCCCAATGGGGCGGCCCCTACGATTTTCTTCAAAATTTGCACAGACACTCTCCTGGGCCCCCTCTTCAATCTGGCTGAAGAAACCTACCGGGGAATCCAAAGGAAGGGGCCCAAAGAGGGCCCCAAAGAGGCCCTTTCTAAGTATTGCCCCTAATTTCGCGACCAACCCCGGCAATATGCACATCATTGGAAAGAGCGTAATTTCCCAAACAAAAAACTCAAGTAACATTTTTCGATGGGGCCCACGTGGGGCCCACGGGACCCAATTGAAATTTGGGGCCCAATGGGGCGGCCCCTACGATTTTCTTCAAAATTTGCACAGACACTCTCCTGGGCCCCCTCTTCAATCTGGCTGAAGAAACCTACCGGGGAATCCAAAGGAAGGGGCCCAAAGAGGGCCCCAAAGAGGCCCTTTCTAAGTATTGCCCCTAATTTCGCGACCAACCCCGGCAATATGCACATCATTGGAAAGAGCGTAATTTCCCAAACAAAAAACCCAAGTAACATTTTTCGATGGGGCCCACCTGGGGCCCACGGGACCCAATTGAAATTTGGGGCCCAATGGGGCGGCCCCTACGATTTTCTTCAAAATTTGCACAGACACTCTCCTGGGCCCCCTCTTCAATCTGGCTGAAGAAACCTACCGGGGAATCCAAAGGAAGGGGCCCAAAGTGGGCCCCAAAGAGGCCCTTTCTAAGTATTGCCCCTAATTTCGCGACCAACCCCGGCAATATGCACATCATTGGAAAGAGCGTAATTTCCCAAACAAAAAACTCAAGTAACATTTTTCGATGGGGCCCACGTGGGGCCCACGGGACCCAATTGAAATTTGGGGCCCAATGGGGCGGCCCCTACGATTTTCTTCAAAATTTGCACAGACACTCTCCTGGGCCCCCTCTTCAATCTGGCTGAAGAAACCTACCGGGGAATTCAAAGGAAGGGGCCCAAAGAGGGCCCCAAAGAGGCCCTTTCTAAGTATTGCCCCTAATTTCGCGACCAACCCCGGCAATATGCACATCATTGGAAAGAGCGTAATTTCCCAAACAAAAAACCCAAGTAACATTTTTCGATGGGGCCCACCTGGGGCCCACGGGACCCAATTGAAATTTGGGGCCCAATGGGGCGGCCCTACGATTTTCTTCAAAATTTGCACAGACACTCTCCTGGGCCCCCTCTTCAATCTGGCTGAAGGAACCTACCGGGGAATCCAAAGGAAGGGGCCCAAAGAGGACCCCAAAGAGGCCCTTTCTAAGTATTGCCCCTAATTTCGCGACCAACCCCGGCAATATGCACATCATTGGAAAGAGCGTAATTTCCCAAACAAAAAACCCAAGTAACATTTTTCGATGGGGCCCACCTGGGGCCCACGGGACCCAATTGAAATTTGGGGCCCAATGGGGCGGCCCCTACGATTTTCTTCAAAATTTGCACAGACACTCCCCTGGGCCCCCTCTTCAATCTGGCTGAAGAAACCTACCGGGGAATCCAAAGGAAGGGGCCCAAAGAGGGCCCCAAAGAGGCCCTTTCTAAGTATTGCCCCTAATTTCGCGACCAACCCCGGCAATATGCACATCATTGGAAAGAGCATAATTTCCCAAACAAAAAACCCAAGTAACATTTTTCGATGGGGCCCACCTGGGGCCCACGGGACCCAATTGAAATTTGGGGCCCAATGGGGCGGCCCCTACGATTTTCTTCAAAATTTGCACAGACACTCTCCTGGGCCCCCTCTTCAATCTGGCTGAAGAAACCTACCGGGGAATCCAAAGGAAGGGGCCCAAAGAGGGCCCCAAAGAGGCCCTTTCTAAGTATTGCCCCTAATTTCGCGACCAACCCCGGCAATATGCACATCATTGGAAAGAGCATAATTTCCCAAACAAAAAACCCAAGTAACATTTTTCGATGGGGCCCACCTGGGGCCCACGGGACCCAATTGAAATTTGGGGCCCAATGGGGCGGCCCCTACGATTTTCTTCAAAATTTGCACAGACACTCTCCTGGGCCCCCTCTTCAATCTGGCTGAAGAAACCTACCGGGGAATCCAAAGGAAGGGGCCCAAAGAGGGCCCCAAAGAGGCCCTTTCTAAGTATTGCCCCTAATTTCGCGACCAACCCCGGCAATATGCACATCATTGGAAAAAGCGTAATTTCCCAAACAAAAAACCCAAGTAACATTTTTCGATGGGGCCCACCTGGGGCCCACGGGACCCAATTGAAATTTGGGGCCCAATGGGGCGGCCCCTACGATTTTCTTCAAAATTTGCACAGACACTCCTGGGGAAATTACGCTCTTTCCAAGGATGTGCATATTGCCGGGGTTGGTCGCGAAATTAGGGGCAATACTTAGAAAGGGCCTATTTGGGGCCCTCTTTGGGCCCCTTCCTTTGGATTCCCCGGTAGGTTTCTTCAGCCAGATTGAAGAGGGGGCCCAGGAGAGTGTCTGTGCAAATTTTGAAGAAAATCGTAGGGGCCGCCCTATTGGGCCCCAAATTTCAATTTGGTCCCTTGGGCCCCAGGTGGGCCCCATCGAAAAATGATACTTGGGTTTTTTGTTTGGGAAATTACGCTCTTTCCAATGATGTGCATATTGCCGGGGTTGGTCGCGAAATTAGGGGCAATACTTAGAAAGGGCCTCTTTGGGGCCCTCTTTGGGCCCCTTCCTTTGGATTCACCGGTAGGTTTCTTCAGCCAGATTGAAGAGGGGGCCCAGGAGAGTGTCTGTGCAAATTTTGAAGAAAATCGTAGGGGCCGCCCCATTGGGCCCCAAATTTCAATTGGGTCCCGTGGGCCCCAGGTGGGCCCCATCGAAAAATGATACTTGGGTTTTTTGTTTGGGAAATTACGCTCTTTCCAATGATGTGCATATTGCCGGGGTTGGTCGCGAAATTAGGGGCAATACTTAGAAAGGGCCTCTTTGGGGCCCTCTTTGGGCCCCTTCCTTTGGATTCCCCGGTATGTTTCTTCAGCCAGATTGAAGAGGGGGCCCAGGAGAGTGTCGGTGCAAATTTTGAAGAAAATCGTAGGGGCCGCCCCATTGGGCCCCAAATTTCAATTGGGTCCCGTGGGCCCCAGGTGGGCCCCATCGAAAAATGTTACTTGGGTTTTTTGTTTGGGAAATTACGCTCTTTCCAATGATGTGCATATTGCCGGGGTTGGTCGCGAAATTAGGGGCAATACTTAGAAAGGGCCTCTTTGGGGCCCTCTTTGGGCCCCTTCCTTTGGATTCCCCGGTAGGTTTCTTCAGCCAGATTGAAGAGGGGGCCCAGGAGAGTGTCTGTGCAAATTTTGAAGAAAATCGTAGGGGCCGCCCCATTGGGCCCCAAATTTCAATTGGGTCCCGTGAGCCCCAGGTGGGCCCCATCGAAAAATGTTACTTGGGTTTTTTGTTTGGGAAATTATGCTCTTTCCAATGATGTGCATATTGCCGGGGTTGGTCGCGAAATTAGGGGCAATACTTAGAAAGGGCCTCTTTGGGGCCCTCTTTGGGCCCCTTCCTTTGGATTCCCCGGTAGGTTTCTTCAGCCAGATTGAAGAGGGGGCCCAGGAGAGTGTCTGTGCAAATTTTGAAGAAAATCGTAGGGGCCGCCCAATTGGGCCCCAAATTT